CCCCCAATTTCTCTACGGATTTAGCCTTTCTGAGAGAATGGTTTTTGTAGCGATTTGGAGGGGGGCTCTTAATATATATAACTTGATATTTTTAAGAAAAAAATTTTGCAATAAAACCTCCCAAAACAAAACACAACGCCTCTGCGGAGGAGAGTGCTAGGAAACAGTCGCAAGGCTTGGAAAGGCTAGCATTTTATCGGATTGTTTGCATGAAATCTATCGCTATTATTGAAATACTCGGTGAAGAACAATATGAATTACACACAAGATGGCTGTGGAGGAGGCTATGGAAGGGCATAATCTCATTATCAAGTAAATCAACTGCAATTCTGACAGCAATCATGAGCAATTCTGCTTCGCACTTCGGGGGCAAATTCTTTCTCTCGGGGGGGGGGGCAATTGCCCCCCAGATATATAGTTAAAAAAGGCACTGCTGTAAGTCTAGTATGTGTTTGCATGTTTTAATGTCTATAGGAACGCAAGGTTCCACTGCATGGAAACACCACGGAAAAATAGCTTACTGCGCATTTCCGATCGCGCATGACCACAATGCACTGCGCTAGAATGTTTTGAGATAAATATCCCCATATACACAAATTAGATCTGCTGCGTCGCTCGCTTCGCTTCAGGATCGCTCGCTTCCGCAGCAATTACGCTCACTACCAGAGTTAACTTTTAAGTTTAAAATTCCTTCAAGTGGATTATTGTGATCTCATTTTGTTAATAAATTTAGGCCTACCACGACAATGGATGATTCCGGCTATGGATTAAATTTTGATCTGGGCAAGAAGAACAAAATCAATCACCACAGCTACAATCCTGGACATAAATTATTGGCAAAAGGGTAAAAAGTAAGAAAATTCATCGAATTTCACCTTCCTTCCCTAATATCAATGTCATTAACATATCAATGTCATTAACATATCGAGGCCAGATGACTTGGCCAAATATTGATATTGGGGGAAGGGGGCATCATTGAGACAAACATGTCTTAAAATTATATTTTGAAGTAATAAACTAGTTTTTGCCACTTTTTTTGTCCAGGATTGTAGGGCAGGGTGACCGCAACAGCATATGCCAATTACTGTGGGCCCTTTTACCTAACCCACCCCGTCAACTTTCCCTGTGGGAGGAAATCGGAGTACCTGGAGAAAACCCACGACTTTCGGCAGAGCGTTGACTTTTACTCTTTTCACATGAGGACTGGGTTCGAGTCGCATTGAGGAAGTTCTCACTGAGGCTTGAACCTGCGGCCTTTGTCGGAGACAGCCGGACATCTTTAATTTAGAACTATAACTTAGAGTATTTTATGATCCTTTTTAGTTGATTAACGTGGTGTGTTGAATGATTAGTTAATGACATTTTAGACATAATCGTGTGGGAATGTGAGAGAGATTAGTGAGATATCGAACCGTGATCGTGAGTGAACCTGTGAATTCAAGCGTTATTATCAATATATAAATCAAAATCGTTTCGTCGTGTTTGTTGTTGTTCGAAACCTATTAGTAAGGGTACAATTCACCGGCTTAGAGGCGAAAGGCAAGTGCGCTAATCACTTCGCCACCGAAGCCCTTGGAAGCGAGTAATGATAATGACCGTTCTGCATGTTTACTTTCGGCCCAAATGTGGTGCATTTTCCCGTGCGTAATACAAATTAATACAAAACTTGCAAATTTCGCAGGGCTATATTTTCCCATTTTACAACATTTCGCAATCAAACTTTGCAATTTTACTAATGTTAACATGCTCTTTCTACAATCCTGGATAAAAAAGTGGCAAAAACTAGTTTTAAAAAAATTACTTCAAAATACAATTTTAAGACATGTTTGTCTCAATGATGCCCCCTTCCCCCAATATCAATGTTTGACCAAGTTATCTGGCCTCGAATACACCCATCAACATTGATATTAGTGGAAGGGGGGTGAAATTCGATGAATTTTCTTACTTTTTACCCTTTTGCCAATAATTTATGTCCAGGATTGTAGTTGGCAAAGCTAAATAAACAAATAAATATTTCCGCCATATTGAGCTCACTGACTCGATTTCTTTGCGGAGACTCAGAT